AAGGTAAAGGGAGGGTGGCTATAATGGGGAGAGATTCAACCAAAGGTATTTGTATGTAGGCACACATCAACTAAGAGATGCTCTTAGTTTACTTTCCCCCTCCAGGGTCCCAGGTCTTGGAGGAGAGAAAGTGATGCTGAGCATCCAGGTGCGGGCTCTCAGACCTGCGGAAGGGGGACTCCCAGGCTCCCAACCAAGGGGGCTTCCCAGAATGCAGCGCGAGACCCCCGCGGGGCCCGCCCCTGCCCCTCCCCCCCCCGCCCCCACCAGGTGCTCAGACGCACAAGGCCTGGCGGTTGACGCCAACGCTCTATTCCCTCATTTCCGTCTTGGCGTTTCCAGGGAGTGAACGCTGTGATCTGAGGATCTGAGGCTGGTAGGCCTCGGGTCAGAGAGCGAAGTCCAGTCTCCCTTCGTGGTCAAGGAGTGGAGGAGAAGACCCGGAGCGCCCGGAGGTACTGTCAAGCCCATACCCCTGCCCCTGCGGTCTCCCTGGGGAGGAAACGGCAGGACTCTCACTCCCTGGGATGGGGAGGGAGGTGGGAGTGAAGTCTTGGTCTAATGGACCAGGTTGGGGGGTCAGTCTTGGTCTAATGGGGTGGGGGTCTTTGTTTTATGGTGGTGGGAGGTCTTGGTCTAATGGGGAGGTCTCAGTCTCATGCAATTGGGGAGGCTTTGTCTACTGGGTGTGGGGTTTTGTTGTAATGGGTGTGGCCTCAAAAGTGTAGACTGAAAACCTTAATAATTGCTTAGGACCAGGAATCCCATAGGGGTGTATAAGAGATCAATCAAAGGACTTGTATGCATGCATATAAGCATAACTAATAGACACAGACCCTGGGAGGTGAGGGTATGTGCTGGGGGATGGGTGTAGATGGGGGGAGGTCAAATGGGCAAAAAGGAGATGTGTAATACTATATGTAATATTTTAAGCAATTAAATAAGAGATCCTCACTCATTTGTGGAATAAAATGAACAACATAAACTAATGAACAGAAACAGATCCACAGACAGAGAAGCATGGATCAGAAGTTCAAACCCCAGAAGGAAGATAGGGGAGAGCAGGGGTAAGGGGGAGAGATCAACCAAAGGACTTGTATGCATGCATGTAAGCATAACCAATGGACACAGACACCAGGGTGGTGAGGGCTTGATTGGGAGGTGGGGGAGGCAATTGTGGTATCAGGACATATTTAATACCTTTGTCAATAAAGAAAAAAGAGAGATCCCATAAGACACTGCTCCTGATGTAGCTCTAGAAGCCCATCCCCAGCAGGGTGATGAGATAGGGCTCTCCCTCACTTCCCCCAGGCCTCACAGGGGTAAGGCCATTGGGGTAAGGAGTTTAGTTCACAGTGGAGAGGGGAGGAGGCCGGGCCCTGCCAACAGTGGGTCCACAGGATGATCCTGTGAAGCAGAGGATCCTCCACCTCAGAACACAGGGGACCCACAGAGCTTAACCCCGCCAGCCCTGCCCTCAGCCCAAGGTGCACCCTCACTTCCTCTGCAGGGTCGTAGGGCGGAGCAGGAGCCCTGTGGGTGCCTGGATCACTGCCCTCAGACCCTGCAGACATGGCCTGGGTTAAGGTCCCGTTGCTATGTCCCTGCTGAGGGGCAACACCCCCCCCTTCTCACTTCTCCCCTCCTCCCAGGGGGCCCACCATCCCTTTCCTTTTCTTGCCACACGGGTTGCCCGCCTGGCCCCCTTTTTAAGTGTTCCTCATGTCTTCGGGGGAAAAAAGAAGTAAACCCCCGGGCCCGAGAGAAACCCGACAGGCCCAAGTTGGAGGCTGGGAGAGTTCTGATGCCAACCTCTTCAGAGGAAGGGGATGAGTCCTCCTCCTCCTCCTTTTCTTCTGAGGTGTCTTCCCTGGGCACCCCTGAGCCTGCGCTGTCCCAGGAACCTCAGGGAGCCACAGCAGCCATTAGCTCTCCCCGCAAGGAAGAATCGCGTGGCCGTGCTTTGATACCACAACCACCAGTACCGAGAGCCAAAGCGAGAGCCAGAGTGAGAGCCAAAGCGAGAGCCAAAGCGAGGAAAGTGCAGGTGCCTCCGGGGGAGGTGCCTCCCAGGCAGGTGCCTCCGGGGGAGGTGCCTCCGGGGGAGGTGCCTCCGGGGCAGGTGCCTCGGGGGCAGGGTCATGGTCTGATGAGCCCCGCAGGAGCCCTCTAGACCAGAAGGCGATGCTGCTGGCGCAGTTCATGCTGCGCAAGTATAACATGAAGCAGCCCATCACCAGGGAAGACATGATGAAGCACGTCGTCAGGAAGCACAAGTCCTACTTCCAGGAGATCCTCAAGAGAGCCACTGAGCTGATGGTGCTGGTCTTCGGCATTGATGTGAAGGAAGCCGACCCGGCCGGGCAGAGCTATGTCCTGGTCAGCAAGTTGCACCACAGAGGGGATAGCAGTCTGCATGGGAAGATCATGCCCAAGAAGGGCCTCCTGATGACCATCCTCTGTGTGATCTTCATGAAGGGCAACTGCGCCACTGAGGAAGAGATCTGGGATGTCCTCAATGCGATGGGCATACATGCTGGAAAGGAGCACAACCTCCACGGGGAGCCCACGAAGCTCATCACAGAAGATCTGGTGAAAGAAGGGTACCTGGAGTACCGCCTGGTGCCCCACAGTGATCCCCCGAGCCACGAGTTCCTGTGGGGCCCACAAGCCTACGCTGAGACCAGCAAGATGGAGGTGCTGGAGTTCTTAGCCAAGCTTCATGATACCCAGCCCAGCGCCTTCCCACACTGGTACGAAGAGGCCCGGCAGGATGAGCTGGAGAGAACCCGCCAAAGATTCGCGGCTGTGATTCGTGCTGCCTCCCCGGCCTGTGATCTTTCCAGCACCCATTTCAGCAACCCCCACATGTATTGAAATATGAAGCACTTCCCTCACTCTGTGCTTGAAGTGGTGGTGGGGGGTGAGGGGTGCTGGGGGGGACGCAGTGCACATCATATCTGTGCTCCTGTTCTGTTATTAAACGATTGCTTTACCTATTGTTGCTGAATGTTTTCAAATGCTGTTCTTTAAAACAAGTGTAACTAGCGTCAGAATCTAAATGCACAAATGATATTGGTTATGGATTTAACATTGTTTATGAGGCTTAAGTAAGAGTTTTGCTTTTTACTGAAGAAATGCAGTAACCTTCCATCTTACATAGTGATCTGGAACAAGACAACATGGCATTAGAAATGTATTTCCTTAGAAATGTGACAGAAATGAGTGGCAAAATAGTTGTGATAAAAAATGTATTGAAATCTGAAGCACTTCCCTCACTCTGTGCTTGAAGTGGTGGGGGGGGGTGAGGGGTGCTGGGGGGAGCGCAGTGCACATCATATCTGTGCTCCTGTTCTGTTATTAAACTATTGCTTTACCTATTGTTGCTGAATGTTTTCAAATGTTATTCATTAAAACAAGTTTAATTAACATCAGAATCTAAGTGCACAAATGATATTGGTTATGGGTTTAACATTGTTTATGCGGCTTAAGAGTAAGAGTTTTGCTTTTTACTAAACAAATGGAGTAACCTTCTGTCTTACATAGTGATCTGGAACAAGACAACATGGCATTAGAAAATGTATTTTCTTAGAAATGTAACAGAAATAAGTGGCAAAATAGTTGTGATAAAAAATCCAGAGAAAAGTAAAAGATGATCAATTCTTGGTTTCTCTTATTCCTTGTGTTCTGCTGTTCTATAAAATAAAAGTTATATACTTGCACTTGCTTTGTTTATTCAAGTACATAACAGAAATGAAATCATGATGAATTGTTACTGCCTTTTTTAAAAAAAATTCTCAAGCATTGATTGAGCATCTGCTCTTGGGAAGGCTCCATGGTGGTGGTGGGGGGGGAACCAGGGGGGGCGATGGTAAGAAAAAGAAGACAGAGCTACTGCCCCCAGAATGATGGAGGCTAGAACCAGCTGCAGTAAAAGGAAGATGGTGAGATACCTCTAAGACAATAATCCAGTGAAAAGTATGAGGAGGGGAGAAGAGGGAGGTCGTGATAAGAGCAGACAATCTGGGGTCTTGGGAAGCCTCAGTCCCTTCAGTGGGCGGTGATGCTATGTGGAGGTGGGTGGGGCCTCAGAGGAGGGTGTGAGTGTGGTGAGCCAGGGCCAGACCCTTGCGTGGTGGGTCTCAGAGTTGAGGAGCTAAGCCTCCAGAGGAGAACTGCTTTTAGCAGCGCCTGGGATCCTGGATGAAGCAGAGAGAAATCTCCCCGCGCGGCAGGGATGGAAGGTGCCCTGGGCTTTGGGCCCAGAGCAGAACACAAGGCACAGACTCATCTCCAGGGAGTTTCTGAGAAATCAGGGCAGTACTTCCTCAGGGCGGGGTGCCAGGGAGCCGCTGTGCTGGCGCCCCTTGCCCTGGGCTGGGAGAAGCAGGGTGTGCTCCATAAAAAGGATCTTAGCCAGTTTATCTTGAGCAAAATTTGTCAACCTCTAAGGGAGGCCTTGATTTGGGGAGAGCTTAAATGAATGAAAAATGGGGTGATTCAGAGCAAAGGGCAGCTGGGAGGGAGGAAAGGAGAGTTGTTTTTGACACACATTTTAGGAGCTTTGTGTTATATGCAGATGAGGGGGATCCCCTAACATCCAAATTAAATACTGTGTCCTCTAAGAGGAATGATTTGCTGAGGTATTTTTTCTTGCTAAGCAGAATTTTTGGCAGAGTTGTTAGTTGTTCTTTAGCACTGCATATATCTCCTGGATTAACACAACAACAATACAAAGAAAAAAATCTCAGCAGGAGGGTGGGTCTTATTTAAGGTCCAAGAAAATCATAGTAGTAATTGCCATTCTTTGCAATCTCAATGCACACCAGTCACTGTGCCAGGTGCTTTACACACACCACACACACCCCATCAGTCCCAGAAGGAAGGAGGCACCAAGCCCAAGTCATTGATGAGGAATCCGAGGCTCAGAGGGTTTGGAAAGGTTCAGGATTCACAAGGCTAGTGAGTGACAGAGCCCTAGTCTGAATTGGTGAAGAACCCACCCTGCTCCACTCCTCCCAGTCTTGTGTCTATTTATTCATTTCTCTTCTCACTATTCCATGATGTTTCTCAGATGGTAGGAAGCAGAGGCCTGTGGCTAAAGTACTGAGAGCAAGCCTAAAGAAGGGGTGAAAATGAGAATGAAGCACAGTGTAGGGATTGTCTGTGGTTCATTTACCCAGGGGCCTCCTGCCCCCTCCCCCTTGGCTCCAGGACAGCTGCTCTGCCCTGGGCCCAGCACAAGTGCCCAGCCCCAGCCCTTTCCTGCATTACAGCGCCCTTCCCCTGGGTCTTCCCCAGGGCGCCTGCCTCCTGTCCACACTGGAACCTGTCCTGCCACCCAGCTCTTCTCCACATCCTCCCTGCAGGCTGCACCCTGCTCCCCTGAACACACAGCCCATGCCCCCTGCCTCCCCAACCTGGAGCCTCCCAACTCCCTGCAGGGTCCCTCCTTCTCTGCGGACCCCTCTGACAGCAGCCACCCTTTCCATGGATCCCTCACTTCAGATGGGGACGTTTGCACACCCCTCTGGCTGCTTCCACCACATTCTCAGGGTTTTCAATCTGCTGATGACTAGAGTCTGACTTGGCACAGAATCTACTGGCTCTTTGGAGTAGAATTTTAATGGGCTGAATTCTTTGGGATTGGCCACAGACTACATAGGCCAATAAATAAGTTTACCTTGTTGGTCAAAACTAAAGCCTCTTTTGTAAAGAGCAGATGAGAAAAGATCATAGAAACCACTGAGACAACATCTACGTAGACAGAATTTCTAAAAATCCAGGAGTCTATGTAAACAGAATTTCTAAAAACCCAGAAAATGGCTCCATGACAGAGATGATATCCTTGGTAAGAAAAGGAAAAAGTCAACGTTCTTCCACTGCCACTTGTGTCTTTGTTTTCCCAGAGAGAAAATCTGATTTTAGGTCATAGTGCAAATAGTCTCATTGCTCCAAACTTCCAACAGCATGAATGAATCACAGTTTTCTTTCTTTACTACATTCCTCTAAAAGTCATTCCTCTCCTCAGAACTAACCACAATTAAAATTTTGTGTTATTTTGTTTTTAAAAATGTTTTAGTTTTCAACTACGATTGCCATTCAATATTATTTTATATTAGCTTCAGGTGTACTGCATAGTGGTTAGACATTTATATGATTTATAGAGTGATCTCCCCAATAATTCCAGTACCCTCCTTAGCACCACACATAGTTATCAAAATACTAGAGGCACGATGCATGAAATTCGTGCAAGAGTAGGCCTTCCTTCCCCCGCTGCTGGCACTGGCTTCCCTCCAGCACCCGAGACCCGGGCTTCCCTCGCAGCTCTGACTTCATCTGGAAGGTTGTCTGGAAGGACATCTGGTCTAATTAGCATATTATGCTTTTATTATTATAGATTATTGACTATATTCTCTATGCTGTACTTTACACCGCTGTGACTATTTTGTAACTAAAAACTTTGTTATCTTAAAATGTATTCTAGACTTATCCTTACATAGATGTGTTATAAAAATACATTGTGACTTTTTAATATACATGCATAATAGTGTACATATTGGTCTGTCTCTTGCCTTTGTCACTAAAATGAATGCAGGATCTCTCAGTGAGAGCACATATGGATCCACCATTTAACTACTCCCTAAAATTCTAAAGTGTGTATATGCCATCATCATTAATCATTTTCCTCCGGATGCACACATACGTTGTTTGCCATTTGTTACTGTGTTTAATGGAACTGAAATCAACATCATTGACACGAGTTCTTGGGCAAATATGTATGTTTTCTTCAAGAAAAGACAGCAAAGAGCAAACTGGATTAAAGTGGAGATAATATGATTGCAAAGTTTTATGAGTATTGCTGAAATTCTGTTCTAATAAAGCTATGCTGATTCATATTCTTACATGGTAATATATGTAAATAATTTACACTCACAGGTGTTTCATTTTATTAGCCTTTTAAATTTTGGTCAACCTTTTGGGTGAAAATATATTGTCTCAGTTATTTTAATTTCCCCGTTTTCTAAGTAGGTTGAGCAGAAAATTAACTTCATCTCTCATCCATAGAAAGCAGGATTTCTTCAGTGATGCCTTGAGTACCAAAATTCCTCCGGGCATGCTTTAAAATTCTAAAATGCCAATGACTTTTTTCCTTTGACTCTGAGAAAGAAGGATTTGATCAGAATGACTGGGTACCAGGGAATGGATTCAGACAGAATACTGTCAGCTAGTGAGGAACATCGGGACAAACCCAGGGAGAGAGCAATGACCAGAGTCCATGAGAGGGATGATGAAGTGCAGGTGTGCAGGCCTCTGAAGGCCAGGATTCCATGACATAACCTCTACCTGCTATACAGTAGTTATAAGTATTTTAGATGTGGAACCTCTTATTCCAACTCAAGCCTTCCCCAGAAACCCAATCCACGATTAGGCCTGGCTGCCGTGGCTCAGTGATTGAATGTTGACCTATGAACTCAGAGGTCACGGTTTGATTCCCGGTAGGTCAGGGTACATGCCTGGATTGTGGGCTCGGTCCTCAATAGGGGTGTGCAGGAGGCAGCTGATCAATGATTCTCATTGTTGAGGTTTCTGTCTCTGACTCCCTCTCCCTTCCTCTCTGAAATCAATAAAAATATATTTTATTTATTTATTAATAAATATCTGTCTTTGTACAAATTGTACTTCTCATCTGAGATCCTTAACTTCACTTGTGTGCTCACTGAATTCTTTTTTGTTTTTTAAGTATATATTTTTATTGATTTCAGAGAGGAAGGGAGAGGGAGAGAGAGACAGAAACATCAATGATGAAAGGGAATCATTAATCGGCTGCCTCCTGCACACCCCCTTCTGGGGATTGAACCTGCAACCTGGGCATG